CTGGGGAGGACCCAGCCGACATGCCACAGGTCTTGCGAAAGGGGCAAGCAAGAGTTGGGTGGTGCTGGCAGCCCCCATGGCCAGTTCAAAACCTGGGAAGCCACATATAACTGGCCCCTAGGGAGCATTAACGACCAAGAATGTGGTGTCAGTTGGGAGTGGTGTCATCAGTTCTCATGAAAACCGTGATGCGCAGTCAGTTATTAGGCTGCTGCCTGCTCTGCTCACCTGCAGGCTTAGGCTGCAGCCCTGATGGTCGGCCCAAACTAACTGGTGGCTGTGCAAGCCTACCCAGAAGCTTGAGGTCTCCAGGGAATTAGGATTAGAAGGATGACATCTTTCCAAAGAATTACCATTCTGTAAGTGGGCTCTTTTTTTGTTGATAACTATAAGGAGACTGTGACACGCCAAAAGAAAATGGCATCCACCCACTGCAACTTCAAGGCTGAGGCTGAAACCCAAACAGAAGCACTACAGCTTACCTATGCTAATATCCCCATCCTAACAGACCTCCCAAGGACTGAAATAGCTGTCCAGACCTCAGGTTGCATGGAGCTGAGCCTGGAAGCTCCCCTAACATCTGAAGGCAATGATGGATGTCATAGCTGCAAGTGTGCTCAGATAGAACTCCTCCTCAAACAAGTAGCTATGTTACAAGAGGAACTCAACAGGCAGTGCAGTATCCAGGAATGTGAGCAGGAAATCGATACATGGTACTGTGTGCTGTCCCAGGCTGAGCAACAGCCCAACCTCAAGGCTGTGCAAGGGGAAGGTAAACCTGAATTTAACCTTGAGCTGACTGACACAAGAAACTCACAAGATGAAGGAGACTGGACTCTTGTCTCTGCTCAAGGCAGAAAGAAGAACCTCCCCCCATTCCCTAAGGTGTCCCTGCATAACAGAGATGACACCCTGGGGTTGGAGAGTGAAGAGCACATGAGTAACAGACAAGATCCAGGAAAAGCCAACCATGGAAAGTTGATCCAACCACCCACCCACATTAGAACCAGTGCCATCAGAAAAGCACATAAGGTATTAGCAAATGGAGACTCCTTACTAAGAGGCACCAAAGCAGCCATTTGCTATCCAGACAATATCTCTAGAGAAATTTGCTACCTACCAGGAGCTCACATTCATGACATCACCAAGAGACTGCTAAGCCTGGTGAGCCCTACAGATTATCATCTGCTCCTATTATTCCACATAGGGTCTAATGATACTCCAACAAGGCAACTTAGAACCATCAAAAGAGACTATATGTCCCTCAGAGCAATGTCAAAAGGAACTGGAACCCAAGTGGTGTCCTCCTCTATCCTCCCAGTCAGAGGAAGTTTTTTCAGGAAGGAAGAATCAAATAGAACAGGTGAATGCCTGGCTGTGTAGCTGGTGCCTGTATTGGGTCTGGCTGGGATGGAGTTAATTTTCCCCATAGCAGCCCTCATAGTGCTGTGCTTTGTAGTGGTAGTTAGAAAGGTGTTGATAACACCAGTGTTTTGACTACTGCTGAGCAGTGCTCCCACAGCATCAAGGCTGGCTCTTCAACATTTCCCTCCTCCACCAGTAGGCTGGGGGCAGGCAAGATCTTGGGAGGGGACATAGCCAGGACAGCTGACTCAAACTGACCAAAGGTATATTCCATACTATATGACATCATCTCAGCAATAAAAGCTAAGAGAAAGGAGGAGTAAAGGGGGACATTCATTATTTACATTTGTTTTCTGGAGCAACCACTACAAATACTGAAACCCTGCTTCCTGTGAAGTGGTTGAACATGGTCTGCTGATGGGAAATAAAGAATAAATCTTTTGTTTTCCTTTGCTTCCACGTGTGGCCTTTATTTTTGCTTTGTTAAACTGTCCTTATTTTGACCCACAAGACTTTTGTTATATTTTTCTCTCCCCTATACATCTGAGGAGGGGAGTGATAGAGCAGCTTTGGTGGGCATCTGGCATCCAGCCAGGGTCAATCCACCACAGTCCTTTTTTGTGCCAAATGTGGGGCAAGACAATGGCAGTTTTGAATTGAGTATCCTATAGTTATAGTAGTTATTAAGTAGCAAGATCTTGTGCAGGTCATGTGGTTTGTTGGCTGCACTGCTTATGTCTTTATTTTGCAGAGTCTGAAAATGTTAATACAAATAGTGGTTATGTGCTCTGCCCTAGCATTGATGACCTTGCTGTGCTGGGGAAACTATCTTGTAGAGAGGATAAGGGAATATATCTCCCTCTCCCTGCCCAGGGCCGATGCGGATAGTTTTATTATGAAGGTTCTCAAGGTCCTTGTTCACCCTTATGTGAGCTGTTTAATACTACTAAATAATACTGTTGGCATATTACGGGGTTTGTGGAATCTAGTCTCATCCTGTGAAATGCTGGGGTCTGAACCCCAAGCATCCAAATTAAGGTTGCCATATGGGTGATTCCCACAGCCCTTCATACAGAGGTGGTGAGTTTGCCTTAGAGCTTCCCCCCAGGGTGCGGCCGGCCCTGCAGGGAGAGCCAGAAGGGAAATGAGCCCCAGGGGTCCCGCACTGAGTTGACAAAGGTCAGGGGTCTGCTTGGGGATAAAAGCTGGGACCACTTGCAGGGAGTCAGGAGTGTCTGTCTGTGGAGTGCACTCCCCAGAGCTTCCTGGTTCAGGGCAGACCTCCTGACTCTCCCTGGAGCTGGGCCCTGGTCTGTTTAGACCTTCATGAATGCGGGCCAATTGGGTGAGAGTCACTATGTGGGCACCTTTCTCTTGTGTGTTCAGCTTGCTGGTCTGGCTGTTTCCTATGCCAACTGTTGGCAACCTTGGGTCTCTGTTTGTACCACCTGTCGTGGGCTGAGTTATGTCCTTTGTGAGATTGTTGGGGGTAGCGTCAGTTATGTACCAGCTGATTGATCTGTTTGTACCCCCAGTGATCGTTCATGCAATGTCCTTCTTGTCTACAATACAGTCTGTGTATTGGTTCATCTTCCTGCTGGTGCTATCATTTTTGTTGGGCCTGGTCACTGGCAAAACATCCTGGTATATGAAATATGCCCCAAGGCAGCTGGTCCTTGGGTGGCAGGGTGCCTGGAAGGATTTGGGCAGATTCCTAGGATGGTTATCACTTCCCATGACCTGGGATTCTTATACCTGAACAGGTAAGCAACCCTGAAAAACTGACACACCACCTGCCAGAAGAGTGCCTTGCCTACCCCAATGAAAACCAGCAGCTTCTAGCACTGTACTGGGTCCTGGCCTGTGCCTATCAAGCCACAGTGCAATATTCTTGGAGGACTGTGGTTGAGTCAGGGACCCAAACTGCATCTGAGGACATCATGGTTGAGATAGGGACTCAAAAAACAACTAGAGTTATTGTCCCTGTAGTGAAAAAGAAACAGTGGGTCAATGGGTTCATATCATCAATTAGTAATGGAGGAGGAAGAAGAGGAAGGGTTTGATCAAGAAGTTGGTCCTTTGATGAGGAGATGGGAGGAAGGAGAGAGACAAATTAAACAGGAAGCAGAAACTATCTGGTCTGTGACCTCATCAGAACTTCAAGGCATGTGGGAAGATTACAGCCAGGTGAGCAGCCAGCTGCCTGGCTGTTCTGATGCTGGGATAACAGGGCCAACACTCAGCAACCGGAAAGTAAGGTAGCCAAACAGCTGTGATCCCTTGCTAGAAAATGGGGAATTGAGAGAGGAACTGGAAAAGAGGCAGAAATTTGCAGTCTTTGGAGATGGCTCCTCTCAAGTGTGAGGGCAAGGTATCCTTTCAAGGAAGATCTTGTGAATTACCAAGGAAAATGGACTATCACTGAGGAAGGCATCCAGTGCCTGAGAGAATTAGCAGTGCTGGAAGTAATCTATAGTAATCTAGATGATGATGAAGTCTCCAAGGATCAAGAGGATGTCCTGTGCACATGAGCCATGTGGAGGAAGTTGATTCAAGGTCCTCCAGTGTCATATTCTAACAGCTTGGCAGCAATGTATTGCCCAGATATGGATACACCAACTGCGGTGATAGTGTCTTCTTGGCTCCGAATCTTGACATTGAAGAAAAACTCTGTCCCTCCTCATCCTTACAGGACAGTGCCTTTGCTGTCAGGGGCACCCAAAGAAATCAGCCCTTTCCTGGCCTGATCGGAGGAAAAGGAAGCCCCAGGCACATGCCATATGGTGCACTCTGGTTCTTCCTGTGTGACCAGGGGGAAGATATGAGGAAGTAGAATGGTGAACCTACCTCTGAGCTGGAAGCCCATGTGTGTGAACTGAGAGGGAAGACAGCTCTTAAGGGTCTATCCAAGAAGACTATCAGCATACTTGCTGTAGAGGCTTAAGAAGGCAATCAACAACATAGAAGGACTGAGATTGCCTCCCTTGATCCTGGTGAGGGATCTTCTGGTCTAGTACTACAAAGATCAGACAGTGACTATTCTGATCAGGAATAGGAATAGAGGGTCCCTGTCTTTGGCTAGGAGGAGAAAAGAGATGATTTGGTGTTGTAGTAAGCAGAGCCCGCCCTAGGCAGGGATTGGCGTTCAGAAGATCTCACGATGTAACGGAAAGCTTACACCACCCAGGAGGGGCTTTGTGGGCGTGGCTTGTCATATATAAGCAATTACAACGATGCAATAAACACCATTTGCAACATCCTCTGTGTCGGAGTCAGTGTTTCAATGGACCTCAACGGTAGAGGTTGAGTTGCAGCGATCCTGGGTCCAAATGTCGGTAACGACAGTAGATGGCGTGTTCTGTTTGGGTGTGTGGCAACGCTTGGTCTCAGGCCGCGGGGGCTGCCCAGCCGATGTCGGACACAGAGCGTGTCGTTAAGGTACTTAAAGCTTTAGCTTCAGAGGCAGGCTCTGCTTACTACAACAACTTGGTATACCGGACTGTGTGGATTCGATGGCCTGGCACATCAGACCAACAGAAGTATAAGGCTTTGGTAGATTCTGGTGCACAGTGCACACTGGTGCCATCAGGGTATAGGGGCGCAGAACCTATCTGGTGTGACGGGGGGATGCCAAGAATTGTCTGTATTGGAGGCTGAGGTGAGCTTAACAGAATCACTATGGTTGGAAAGGACCTTTAAGATCATCGAGTCCAACTATTATCTATCTCTACCAGGCGACTTCTACACCATATCACATTCCCTGATGAAACGCAACACTGTCAGAAAATTCCCTAATGGATATGGTGAAGTGCTGAGGTTAACCCCCCAGCCCTGAATGAGGGTTGACATATGGATGATCTAACCTAAACCTCCCCTGGTGTAACTTAATACCATTTCCTCTTGTCCTGTCAAACAAGGGACGAGTGGGAAAAGCACCCTATTGTGACTGAGCCAGAGGACCTAGTATTCTTGGCATAGGCTACCTCAAGAGAGGCTACTTCAAGGCCGATGGGCTAATGATGTAGCCACTGTGAACAGAGACAAGATCAAATAGCTATCTGTCCTGCCTGGCCTCTCAGGAGATCCCTTTGTTGTGGGATTGCTAAGGGGGGGGAGAATGGCAGATGTGGGATAATGGCCTAGCTTACTGTGAGACAGGAATACAGGCTAATTTAGTGCACTTTGGGAGAAAGGTTAAGATGTTTCTGATTATGAGATTCTTGTGCTATCTCTGGGGGTGGAGATTCGCTGAGCTGACATGCCAAATGGCTGAAGAAGGGAGTCTTCTGAAGATATGACTATACTGTTTTGGCTAAAACAACAAAAGCAAACAGCACTTACATAAATCTTGAAGGCCATAGTGTCCGAGTGAAGACCTTTGCATAATTAACAGTAAAATAAATAGTAAAGTGTACACCCCTGAATATGATAATGAGCCTAACGGAGTACATGCTAAACATATATGACTATGTTACTCAACTCTCCACCCAAATTGTAGAATCATACAATGGCTTAGGTTGTAAGGGACCCTAGAGATCATCTAATCCAATCTCCCTGCTATGGGCAGGGATGCCTCTCAATGAGACTACGTTGCTCAAGGGCTCATCCAACTTGTCCTTAAACACCTCCAGGGAGGGGACATCCACAACCTCTCTGGGCAATCTATTCCAGAGTCCCACCACCCTTGTACTGAAGAACTTCTTCCTAAGATCTAGTCTAAACCTATTCTCCTTCAGTTTAAGACCATTTCCCCTTGTCCTGTCACTGCACACTCTTGTGAAAAGCTCCTCTCCAGCCTTCCTGTAGGTTCCCTTCAGGTATTGGAAGGCAGTTATAAGGTCCCTCCAAAGTCTTCTCTTCTCCAGGCTGAATAATCCCAGTGCCTTCAGCCTCTCCTCATAGCAGAGATGCTCCAGCCCCTGGATCATCTTTGTGGCCCTCCTCTGGACTCATTCCAACAGATCTATGTCCCTTTTATGGTGGGGACACCAGAACTAGATGCAGTATTCAAGGTGGGGTCTCACAAGAGCAGAGTAAAGGGGGAGAATCACCTCTTTTGATCTGCTGGCCACATGCCTCTTGATGCATCCCAGGATGCAATTTGCCTTCCAGGCTGCAGGAGTGCACACTGCCAGCTCATGTTGAGCTTCTTGTCAATCAGCACCCCCAAGACTTTCTCTTCAGGGCTACTCTCAACCAGCTCTGTACCGTTTGTAATTGTGCCTGGGATTGGCCCAACCTGGGTACAGGACCTTGCATTTTGACCTGTTGAACCTTATGCAGTTTGCATTAGCCCATTTCTCTAGCCTGTCAAGGTCCCTCTGGATGGCCTCCCTTCCCTCAAGTGAGTCTACTACACAGCTTAGTGTCAGTGGCAAACTTGCTGAGGGTGCACTCAATGCTACCATCCATGTTGCTGATAAAGATGTTAACATTGGACCCAGAACAGAACCCTGAGGAACTCCAATTGTCACTGGTCTCCACCTGGACTTCGAGCCATTCATCACAACTCTGAGTGCAACCTTCTAAACAGTTTGTTATCCACCGAATGGTCCATCCATTAAGTCCATGTCTCTCCATCTTAGAGATGTGGATGTCATGTGGGACAGGGTCAAAGGCCTTTCACAAGCCTAGGTAGATGACATCAGTTGCTCTTCCCATATCTACCACAGCTGTAACTCTGTCGTAGAAGGCCACCAAATGAGTCAGGCACAATTTGCCCTTAGTGAAGCCATGTTGGCTGTCACCAAACACCTCATTATTTCTTATGTGCCTTAGTACAGATGCCAGGAAGATCTGTTCTATGATTTTACCTAGCACAGAGGTGAGGCTGACTGGCCTGTAGTTCTCCGGGTTTTCTTTGCTTCC